GAGCTGTAAAGGAGATTGTGGCAAATCCGGTTCAAAAGGCATTTCACGGCGGAAAATATCGACAGGCAGGTCGTTTGTCGGGTCATCTCTGAGCGAAGTAATGGAAAAAATGGCGCAGAGCACGACGAGTAATAGAAAAGGCGCGTATCGAGCCATGGTGGACGGCCACACCGACGTGATGCGCCACTTTACAAACAAACAAATTAGCCCTCCATGTAAGTACGCGACTACTAATACACAAAATAAATAAGTCCAGTACACTGTCAGTATCATTCATGGTCGTCTGCGTTCTCCTTGCCCCACTTTACTGTCCGTGTCACACCACCGTTCCATGTCGTTACCCGCTTTCGCGCAATGATGGATACCGTCGACTGGTCCGTCCCGACAAATCCAATGGCTCCTGAATGTATCGCCGAATCAATCAGGGTGGGGTACCTATTGGCATCGTCAACCGGAGATCCAAAAGAATGGTTCGGGCATACCATAAGCCATGAAGCTCAACCGTCCTAGAATGATTCGGCCTCGCCCACTCGCGCTCGGTAACATCCTTCCACCACGCCTGGTCTTCCTCGTCGCTGGTCACTATAACCTTGTCGACCATGATACCATGCGTCTCAAACAACTCATTCTGCACCTCCTCGACACGTCGCGCTATCGCAGACATTGGTGCGAAACAGTACTTGATCGCGACGCCTTTACATAGCTCAGCAAAGTCTCCGTGACGAACGTGAACAGATATGTACTATCGCGGAGGTCAGAAATGCTCGGAATATGGGCAGGGAAAACATACTGGTGGTGTGGGTTTATTCGGTCCGACAAGAAGGGCCTCGCGAACATAACTGTCGGCGAGTTCCACGATTTTGGGCGTCCAATGCATGTGCTGCCCAACGAATCGCCACGCAGGACTCCAATCAGACTCCCACTCGTGCCGATTCTTGACACCAACGTAGTACAAATAATCTAGACAGAGCATCTGCTCATCCGGCGGTAACGTTTGGTTGAGAAGTGGGGAAATTGTCGGAATCTCCAATCGTATTTGAGACCGAGTTTCCGGAAAGGCCAGGGATGCGAGGCTCCAGAACGAGGCATGCTTGTCGTCGTCATCTTCCGGCGCCATTGCAACCCATCTGGGAGGTGTGGTATACGAGACATCTGCAAAGTTAAGACAATATTTCTCAAACTCCGAAACGACTCACCGAGTTTGAACCGCGACGGGAAACTGGTGGCATGTGGCTCCCTGTTGAAAGTCTGCACGGCCTTCCATACACTCCAGCATCCCAGCGAATCGACCGTTTCCTTCTCGATATCCTAAGAAAAGCAGTTAGTTAGTCCAAAACGGGCACACCATTAAAGCTGTCTGTCTACCTTGACTTGATGCCACTCGAGTATTGGCAGACCTAACGCCCTCTGCAGTCGTGGGATGTCGAAGACCTCCCCGAACAATAGTGTGGGTGCAAGGCCGAGACCGACGTGTGTCGGTGTAAAGAACGGGATTACAGGTACACGGTCCGTGATGAGGGCCAGATACAACAGATTCATCTGTTCGCGAGGTTCATTTTGCAGCAGCAGAATGAAAAGGAATGGAACGCACGTATAATATTACATCGTTCGCTGCAAAGAATCAGCCGCTGCGAAATGGACAGAAGGAAACCCACTCCATCCAGACCCAGGAAAAGTGGTAATGTAATTCACACCCTTCTTGAGGTTATCTGCGAGGCACCACGGTCAGCGGACCACTCTTGATGGCGCGACAAGCAGAACGTACCTTTGAACGCAGCCGTCGGCGGCCCATTCAACAACTCCAACGCGTCCATCGGCCACGAACTCGGCCGATCCCAAACTTCTACCTCTGGCCTGGAAGTGGCGACAGGCGCAGCAGAGACAGTGACAGTCAACACCGTCGACTCTTGTGGCGAAGTATCGAAACGTGCTAGACACGTCTCAGATACAGCCAGTCCCTCCGGACCCCACGTAGCCATCGCAAATCCAATCGTACATCCCAGCGACAAAAGAAGCAACGCATAAAACACGCGGCTTCCACGACACGCGTTACGACCTTTGCCTTGCTCATCGAAAAGCGGTTCGTAGGCTGGTGGGCGGATGGAGATGGTGGGGAGCTGCATAGCTGGCAGAGCGGGTTGAATGCGCCCCGGACGCGATAAATGTTAGAAATTGGTTTTGCCGAAATCGCTAAGGAACGGAACGTGTGCCACGTCCGTCGTTTCGCGGCCTCCGATTAGGCACCGAGTGGGTGAAACATAGATGAGCCAGAAAAGGGGCCAAACAAAAAGTGGGCGCATCAATATTCATCAAGATATATACACAAGAATTGGTATGGACGTGAAGAAACCGGTTCCTTGTATGTCAACGAAAAATAACAACTTGGGCTAGCCAGTCGGTCGAAAAAAAATGTCGTTTAGATTCCGCCATATGCGTCCTCGGGGTCATATAACGTGTAGACCGACTGCCGCGCGTGTGCATCGGGTCTGGGTTGCGCTGCAGGAGGAGGCGCAGGCACAACAAACTCTTCCCGGGTGGCAGGCGGCGAGGGGACGACAAAACTGCTCGCAAGAGGGCTTGGAGTCACGGGGAAGCGACTGCCCATGGGGCTCTCCGAACCCTTCATGAGGACAGTCTGGCTGGCAGGGAATCCAGGGGCGAACGGCGAGCCTGCCTCGGACAGGTACGTCGAGTTAACGGAGACCCGGGATTGAACGACAATCTCGGGCAGTGTGGGAGGAGTCGAGTCGACCCGGAAGCGGGACACCGAGTGTGCAGGAGAAGGCGGCACGGGGAAAGACAGCTCCTGAACCATCGGGAGCGTCACTTCCGTGTCGTGTTCCTCATCAGCTTCATCGGCGAATGGATCCGACTCCTTGGGAGGAAGCGGGGGAAGGTCGGCATCCTTGGTGGGCATTTTGTTTTCCATGAACTGTTCGACGGCCGGGGTATCAAGTCCTTTGGGCACCTGAGTGTTCAGGCGCTGCGAGATTTCGGCATATTGGGCGGCCTGGAAAGGGGTCACACTGGTCCGCTCTAGATCCAGGTATTCATCCGGAACAGCAAGGGTATTGGGAATTGGGTATGGCATATTCTGAACAGATTCATGGGTCGACGAGGTGGTAGTGGACGTGTTTCTGGTCAGAACAGGGGCGGGGGCGGGGACGTGGTCATACGCAGACACAGGCGACGCTGGCCCATGAGCAATGGGCGAGAACGGCGCCTGGAAGATAAGCGCGCTGCCAGAAGTCGGCGTGTGTGCATCTATGGGACTATTGTTGTAATCCTGGACAGGATACATGGGGCCCCTCTGGACCATGGTTGGTGGAGCAGGGGGGTTGTATCCACGGTCGACGGTGTCCTGGTGCGTCGGAGGGTCCGAAATTAGCATGGCAGAACGGCGGAACACGCCGGGGTCAAAGTTGACAACCTCATCGTCTTTCTGGCGACGACGCTGCAACATGTTAGCTCCTGTGTAACTGTGGAGTGGATATTCGCATACCATAAAGAAGGTGATCAAGAAGAGCAGTATGGCGAGCCCCGCAATTCCACCGACGACGCCTCCGACAACAGGCGCGACGAGTGCGCTGCTGGTACTCGGGGCAGCGCTGGAGCTAGCAGTGGCGATATTGGCTACATGAGAACAGCGGCGGAGGTAGTGCGAGTGATCGTCTTGGGACCAAGAGCCGTGCCAGAGTATGTCGTGGACTGCGATAAAATTAGAATGAAAGAATGAACATAGAAAAATCATTACCGCCGAACGATGGGTGGTCGAGGTGGAACTAGTAGTGAGGACGGACGACGATGACGAAGCAAAAGTCGAAGACGGCAGGGGAGCACTCGAGGACGTCTGGACAACCGAAGAAGAGGAAGGTGTCGAAGGCGCCGGGGGCACTGAGGGGGCCGAGGGGACTGCTGGCACCGAGGGCACTGATGGCGTCGAGGGCGTCGCGGGTACCTCAGGAACGGACGGGGTGGTCTGGATGCCCTGAGTCTTGGTCTTCGTAGCTGTGAAACGCGAACTCAGAAGGATCTAGGCACCTGTGCAGCTCTACTGACCATCGGAAGGAGGGAACGGGAACGGGAGCGTGAAGTCGTCCCCGTTCTCGGGGTTAAAGGCACCAAAACCCCCGGCGCGATTTGAGTGGCGGAGGCGGGCGGCCCTAGCCTGGTGAGCACGAGGGCTCATATTTTCTCTAAGAACGAATGGGAGAGTAAAAGAGTGTGTGGTATGACCCCAGAGGATGTACAGAGGGGAGATGAAGGTGGTCGAAGAACAAGCCGCTTGATCAAATTCTCTTCAGGCATCCATCAACCTCCTTGGCTCCTCCTGTGCAATACTCTCAAACGGAAGATACATTCCATGCCTTCATACGCGTCCATCTACGTGAATGTCGAAAACCAAACTGGCACTCCTGAAGATACATGCCCTGCACTGGCACAGTATTGTCCCTGGACCTGCCCCCATTCGCTACGATTCGCAAAACGGGCCGAAATGTTGTCCCATGGCAATCCCTCAATGCAATTGGATAACCCACTACTTACAGGGGCGAAAATGACACCAATTTGCGTCCGCTCCAAATCAAAAAATATCTTGACTACCACCAACATGCTGGAGTGGATCCCCCGGCCAATGATGCGACCTCAGATAACATAGGCAAGTCGTTTGTGTGTATGGTTAACGGGCGGCCGGGTGCCCTGCACGTGTGTTCCTTCCTACCGAGGTCCTGGTACCTTGATCGAACTGACCGACGTTTGACGGATTCGCAGACGATCTTCCGGCCTGACTGACTGACTTGGCCAACGTTGAACGTCCCCCGATGAAGACCCAGTCGGAGACAGTCCAGGCTCGCGGCGTCTCCTTGGGCCTCCAGTACTCCAGTCTTTGCTTGAGATTGAATTCATTGACGTCTCTCAGCGTCTCGGCCACCGAGGGGCAAGACGCAAGCAGATATGAAATCCAATCACCTCACAATCTTGGAATTGGGCCCGTTGCCATGTCTTGACTAGTATATCGGTTCAGTACACCCGCTTGTCATGTGATTCAAGCTCCATACGTGCGCGGGAGAGCAGGGTTCGACTCCCTGGTCGAGAGTTCTTTTCACACCTATTTTTCGAGAGTTCCTCTTTTGCCTCCCTTTTGTCGCAACATCTCATGCTGGGAATAGGTTCACGAAATCACTCATAGACATGTTCACTCATAGACATGTTACATGACACTGAATTCATAAATTCAAACCTCCCATCAGATACACACAAGATATCCTCACTTCGTCATACGGCCCATGGTGATCCAGGACAGACCCTAGAAATACATTGGGCACCGCTCCCACCGAACACAAAACACTTGGGTCGTCTTGACCTTGAATACGGCATTCAGACCGAGATATACGTCAAACCGCGACCACAGACGCACCAGGACACGAATCCCACTCTCCCGAAGCCTGGATATGCACTTCTCCAGAAGGGTGGTGATACCCCAACGGCAGAATGGCTACAGAGTAGATCCAATGAACGAGCTGAGGGGTACGCGGACATGGAATAACTGACGCGGTATGATGGGTACGATATCCTTCCTGTTCCCAGTGTCATTCAAGTCCCGGTTTATGACTTGTGGATATACGCACCGGTTATTCACCCTCAGCCAAAGACCCAGCAAACTTGGCATCGACGTAGTCCGCGAACCCCTGGTTGCCCACGCGCGGCAAGCCATAGGTGACGGCTGTGATCTTGACACTGGGTGGGAGGTGCAGCTGGAGATAGACGGCGTCCAGCAGGGCGATTGCACCGCCTGTGGCCATGGATTGCGTTGAATACTAACAGACTGCACCAGAAGAGGACTCGACGTACCGAGCGAATGACCCACAACCGTGACAGTGCTAGTTCCATACTTTGCGAGGGTCGTATTCACAGCGGCGAGAATCAAAGTCGCTGTCCTGTAATTTAATTAGTCGGTTATGCTTGGAGACGTGAATATACGCTCACTTGGCCTGCTCGTCCGCGAAACCACAGTGAACTCGAACGGAGCTCGGAATGCCAGGAAAGAGAGCCGGATCGAGTGGTCTCTGGATGATCGAGACGTCCGAGGCAATGGATACACTGTGCGTGTGTCAGATTATGAGAGTCGCGAGGAGGGGCAGCATGGACGCACATGTCTTGGATTTGCGTCCCTTCGTGTGCGACAATGACCCGCTAAACGAGGTCGGTTTTCAGGCGGAGACGAAGGAAAGAAAAGAAGCGCCCACCTCGAGAGACGGCGAGTATCCGAGAAACCCTACGATAACATTAATGAGAACTTTCCATCGAGGCGAAAGCGGCTTACAATACTGTACAACCTCGCCATCCCCACCAGCATCAACAGGCTGAAAATCCGGGTTACCCTCGCAATTCACTGGAAGCAACACCCTCAACATCGTAGCCACCACATCAGTCAAAGAAAGAACCTCACCACCACAAGACCAAGAACGAGTATAACTTGGCCCACAGTACCCAGTAGCAGCGAAATACGTGTATGGGCGGTACATCGCCACCTCCGAGGCGGAGAGCGGCGTGATCGAGCCAGTTTGATTCGCTATTGCTGCGAGCGCGAAAGCGAGAACAGCCGATACTCCAGAGAGAACTGAGAGCAGGAGAGTCATACTTGTGAGCACCCTGGTACCCGAAACCGAGCCAGAGAACGACGCCCTTTAAGACTCTGCCAGTTGCTGCAAGAAGTCGACTGACCCCGCGGACCTTGCTTCTACTTACAGAGAGAGGGCCAGATTCAGGAAACCATGCGAGCGTTGCACCTCGAAGCGCAACTCTGCAGCGTCATGGTGATGGACTGCAAGGCCTTCTTGCCTCGCGTGTCCCGAAATGAAACTGAAGAATCTGGAGTGAGTAGAATCCCAGGGAAGACGAGGAACGGATGGTGTGAGCCCTTGCTCCAGTCCGAGAGGCTGGCCCGCCCACATGACCTTTTATCAAAGACCGGATCCAGATATAGCCACTGGACGAGTCCTTTTCGCCAGCCACACTGCACAAAAAAAGCAAAAACGAGTGCGATACGTAGATTACACAAAGACAACACACCGAGATAATTTAGAATGATAATAACCTTCTAACCTTCCTCCTCATCGTCCTCGCCCACCACGTGTAGCGGCCTCTGCTCTCGTTCCGCATTCGGAACGCGTGAGTACCATTTGGAACCACGCGGCGTAGTGAGGGCAATGTTGTTACCGTCCTCCTTTGTTGGCGCGTTACGTCCCGTCGTGGCGTAGAGGTGTATCAGGAAGACTATCAGTGCGTACAGCAGGAATGCGATACTGCAAGGCGGTGAGATGGAGGATAGCGATATTGGCCAAAAATCCCACCTGAACATGATGAGAATGTAGGTGACGTGGTCCATCTCATTGTCATGCACGAAATCCAACTCTTCGTCGGTCGCTGACATGAACTGGACTCTTAAAGTGGATGATGAATCCGACACCAGAAAGCAGGAAACAAATCGTACCCTGACGCAACGAGCAACTGGAGATATCGTCAGTCGAGTGCAGAATATATTCAAAACGGACGTACAAAGGCCGGGAGGTGGCGGAATGCTATCGAGGTTGCAGCCTTGCGATTCTCCGCTGATGCATGCGGTGGAGTATACCGCGAAGCAGGTGGATACCGAGGGCTGGGTTCCGCCAGGGTGTGGTCGCTGTTGTTGTCGTCGTCGCTGGAGCCCTCCGCAGCCGATTTGGTTGGCCCGGGGAAGCAACAGACCTCCAAAATACGCGCTAGTCCGGCGAGCATCAGGGTGTATCCGAACATGGCGTGAACTTTGGTGGATATCATAAGGTGTTGCGCGTGCTCAGACATGGCCCAGCCGGTTAATATTAAGCTGCAGCGAGTTGGAGGCCAAGGCACAATGGGAGAAAGAGAGACCCACATTATAGCAGGGACTACATTACGCTGGGAAACAGTTCAGTTGATATCCATGCTGAAGGAGGCAATCATACCTTGTTATTTCTTGCAAGGAGAATTCCTAGCAGACCGCCCGCCCACCCTATATCATGTCAGAAAGCGGGGAAGCATTGGATAATTTTAACGCACATAGAACACCCAGAATTCTGGAACAATTTCAGGTGATTGTCTGGAAAGCAACTAAAAACTCACGTATGCTGCATGTCCTTGACGCTCCACCCACTACCCCGGTGCTCAGTGAAGGTGTTGACTATAACACCATGATTAACTCTTGAAAGCGCCTCTGAATGAAGACGCACCAATTCCCCACAGCATAATCACCCACGAATCCCACCATTCTGGACTCCGTCCACTCCGCCGCACCCATTCCCCGCCAACCATGAGCATTATCGCCATAATAACGCCGTACGCAATGAAGCCCGAGCCCATGATATAGTGTGCAAGACACTGCGGTAAATTGCCACCCCGACAATAGCCCCGATACGCGATCGCGCCAAATAGCATCTGAGTGAATCCGAAAATTGGGTACACAACTTTCCCAACGACGCCGTGCAAACGGACAGCCCACGGCCGAATGGAATTTTCGTGAATGTGAAGCTTGAGGTATACACCGAGGACGAGCTGGGCTACGATCGGGATGAACAAGATCGAGGCAAACACGCCGTGCGCCGAGGGTAAGAACATGCGGCCCTTGTGCGAGTGCCCCAGGATGTAGCCTCCAGCAGTCAACACGAAGCCCACGCTCTATCGGTCGAGATTAATTCTGCTTGTCGGAATCGGCGTAGCACTTAGAAGCGCACCTGCAACGGGACATGCCATCGACTCCGCCTGCGAAGGGATTAGCGAACATGGGAGGAAAACACGACACTGGGCGCACGTTATCCCGAGTACCATGCCAATAGGGAATAGTACACCCCAGACCGCCGCCTGCAGCGCCATGTGAATCCATAGGATCGAATCCGTCGGGAGGTTGGCTTCTTCCTCGCTCAACTCGTCATGGTGGTCGTGAGCTGCAGCAAAGGCCAAGAGAGATAGTAGGGTGTATGTCAAGGTGGATAGTCTCGCGACCATTGCGCCAGATGGCGGGGAGTGGTGAAGATGAACGCAGCAATGTTTGTCATTGATCTCCGGTCACGATGGCTCAAGAGGCGTGCATGATTCGAATCTTGACCAACCTTCCCACGACCCCTACCCTACCCCCGAAAAAGGAAATGTTTGACAGCGGCAACAAACGGCGCGCAAACCCTGCCCGTCTCACTCCTCCAGGAGTCCTCCTCAACACAGAGTTTCAATCGCAAGCCATTGCTAGAGTATCATCCACACATAGTTACTATACTCCAGGCAGATGTGTGCTGAACTGTGGCCATAGGAAAGGTCTCCTGCGGATCAATTACTTGCTCACGTGCACAGTTTGTTGGTCAAGATTCGCCGATCACTCACCTCTTGCGATGGCTTATCCAAATTGGTTTGACTCAACCCTCCGAATTCGGTTTATTTGAGAGTACATATGTAGCTAACACTGCATCTCTACGCCGTCGTACGGTCCATCGTGATCACTCACGTCGCTCTCAAGAATCGTAGGGACGTCGCCGACGATACACAGGTCCGATGGGTTATCCTCTCCAGGGCATGCGTCCCAAGCACCAGAGTCCTGGATGTGAATCTCACCAGTCGGGTGGTGGAAGCCAAGGAAAATTCCCGGGAGAATGGGGACCGGATCCTCCTTGTTGTTGATATGCGTCACCGTGTTCCCGACACTCGCCAAGGTGGCGAAAGCCTGGTTGCCGACTCGGGGCAGGCCATACAGAATGCTTTGGAAGGTGACTCCCGACAGATGAAGCGGGAGATAAACCGAGTCGAGGAGAGAGAGCGCAGCACCCAGACTATGGCCCACAAGCGTCACTTGCTTTGTACCGAATTTCGACATGGCAGTTTGAACTGCCGAAAGAATAAGCGTCGCGGTCCTATACTCCAGTCAGCCGACATCGCGGGAAAAGAGTCCAAAAACCCACTTTGCCTGTTCGTCTGCAAATCCGCTGTGCGCCTCAATCGAGGAGCTCACACCAGGGAACAACGTCGAATTCAACGAACTCAGGAAAAAGTCGGAGTCGGTCACCAGCGAAAGGCTGTCTGCATCAACTACACTGC